GCGTCAGTGGGGAGCGTGGAGAGGCGTGCACGTGGCTGTGGCCGGGTGGGGGCGGCTCTGACCTTCACACCTGCCGGGCTTCTCCTGCCTGGGCCTGGAGCTCCACCTCTTCCCACACCCCTGGCGTTAGGTCCCCAGCTGGTGAAGGGGGAGGGAGTGGAGGACACAGGCTCAGAGAGGTTAGACAGCCTACTGACTCGTGGGCACTCAGCGGCAGACTCAGGGCTTCTTCTTTCCTCCCTTCTGAGAGTCCTGGGGCTCGGCGAGGACTAGCGAAAGCTGGGCAAGAGCTGGGGCACTGACCCCACCTCCTGGGCAAAGGGCAAGGGTGGGACGGGGCAGGGCAGGGCAGTAGGGCATCAGGGCAAGGGCTGGGCAGAGGGCAGGAAGTTGACTGGCAGAGAATTCCACGCTCATGAGGGGTGATAGGTGTTGAAGGGCAGAGCGAATAAGCAGCACTGAGCTAACCTGGGAGTCCAGGTTGGGGGAGGTCTTCTCCCCATATTTGCTTCTTCCAGGGTCTTGTCAGCCAAGACAAGCAGGGTCTGTGCCTATCCTTTCCGCTGCCCTTCCTGATCATCCCCTAGCCAGGCAGCCCTCGAGGAGGGTTTCTCAACCTCGGCACTATTGACCTTGGTGGGACACTGCCCTGATCTGCCGCAATTCTGTGTGTAGTGTTTCAGGATGGATGCCCACTGCAGGCCTGTTGCATCACGGCCTTGCGGAGGGTGGGCAGTACCACCACGTGGCCAGCAGAGGGCGAGACGGCATGCACTTTGGCTTTGCCTGGCCTAGGCTGGGAGCCTGCAGGGCTGGGGCTGTGGCCCGCAGATTCCCTTCCCCTCCCCTTCCACTCTTTTTTTTTTTCTTTAATTTTATTTTATTATGTTATGTTAGTCACCATACATTACATCAGTAGTTTTTGATGTAGTGTTCCATGATTCATTGTTTGCATATAATACCCAGTGCTCCATGCAGAGTGTGCCCTCTTTAATACCCATCACCAGGGTGACCCATCCCCCCACCCCCCTCCCCTCTAGAACCCTTTACACACCTGTACAGCCCAGGCCCTGCTGGGATCTTGGGAGGGGCGGAAGGTAGGTAACGGTCCCACGCACATTCACAGGCCTCTGCACTCCCCTGTCAAATGCGTGTAGATTTCTGAGCTCCTATCAGGTCTTAGTGTGATTTTATGGACTAGCATCTATGGATGGAATTCCAAGCAAAATTAGGAAACTTTCTGAGCCTTGCAGCTTTCTAAACTCACGCTGCAGGCTTCCTAAAGAGCTGATGATGAAGAATCCGGCGATGTTTTGCATAGGAGGCACTGACCCCACCTCATGCTGAAGACCGGCCCCAGAGCTGGGTTTCCCCTGTGACGATTTCATCATCCCGGAGTAAACACTGTCTACACAGGCCAAGGCCTGACAACAGACGGAGTGCTGCGGCCGGGCTGTGACCTGGTGTCAGGAAATGCTGCAGGCCCCGGGGTGGCGCAGGACACCTCCCCACCCACACCCAGGACCTCCCTCAGTACCTCCTCAGCCCTACGGATGTCACTAGGGACTTCAGGCCCTCCCTCCCCACCCCACCTCCCCCTCCGCCAGCATACTGGGGGCTCTTAACTGGAGTCAGAGGTAGGTGGGTAGCCAGCCGCCTGCCCAGGACAGATCTCTGGCTTACACTTGGACCCAGGAGTGATACTTCGTCCTGTGATGACTCCTTTCACCATGGGAGGACTCTGCCTGGGAGAGGGCCTTCCTTCACACTGAGCTGTGCCTGTCCTGACCCCCTCCTGAGGCTCCTACCTCTGCCCTGGGCACAGCTGTTCCCTCAGCCCTATGGCTGCCCTGCAGGGAGGGGGCCTCCTTCCTGTTCACTTCCTGTCCTCGCTGTCCCTCCCTGGCCAGCAGCTCTCAGGAGGCTTTCTGCACGTCGACACATGGACATTTGGGGCTGAAGGATGGGGGTGTGTGTGTGGTGGGGGGTGCCTTCATCCCTGGACTCTGCCCCCTAGTAGCACTCCCCTCTACCAGGAGTGACAACCAAAAACGTCTGCAGACGTGACCACATGTCCCCTGGTGGGGTGAGGACCTGGCCCTGGTTGAGAACTGCTCTGGAGCCTGGGGTCTCTCCAAAACTCTTCCCCCACTCACTACCTAAATCCTGACCAGTCGGCTCTTTATCTGGGCTCTGCTTCCGCTGACGCCCCCTGCAGTCCATCCTGCACACAGCAGCCAGAATGTTACTCCTAAAATGTTAAAACGGCAGTGACTCCCACAACACCTAAAATCAAAGCTAATTTTTTTTGTCCAGCCTGCAGGTGCCTGGACCCTGACCCCTGTTCATGCCTCACCTGCCCCCTTTGCCCTCCAAGTTCTCCAAGTACTCCTGGGCTGGTACCCTTCCTGGAAGTGCACCCCTCTGCTCCGTTAGCCCCCACCACTTTTCACCTGGGGATTCCTACAAGGCAGCAGAGCCTATAGGAGCCAGGCCGCCTGTGTTAAAAGTCTTGCCTCTGCCACTTAACTAGCTAAGTGACCTAGAACCAGTTAATTAACCTTGTATCTCAGTTTCCTCATCTGTAAAATGGGGACATTGCCACTGGTACTTCCCTTGCAGAGTGAACAGAAGATGGAGCAAGTCGGTGTACCGAGGTCCCTGGGCACGGGAGGTGCTGGGAATGTGCACCACCTGGGGCATTCTTTCCCGCTGTCCGTGCTCAGCACATCCTCTATTTCTTCAACTCTAAGACATCCTTTTTTTTTTTTTTTTTAAGTAGTCTCCACGGCCAAGCCCAATACAGGGCTTGAACTCATGACCGTGAAATCAAGATCCAAGCTAATATCAAGAGTCGGAGGACTGAGCTACCCAGGTGCCCCTCTAAGATATCCTTAATGGTAAAACATACCAGTATTTTATGTACCACTAAGAAAAAAATCCCTCCAAAGGAATCGTCAAATGCATCTTGAGAGCATAATGTTAAGATGCAAAGAAAAGGTGCATCTTAGAATTGAGAGAATATAGCCGATGATGTCAATGGGTGTCTGTTCTGTGAGTGCATGAGTGCGAGGGGGAGAGGCAGAGCCAAGAACCAGCTGAGAGGCAGGGGTGAGGGTGTCTGAAGCCCTACTTGATGGCATACCCAGACCGCCAGGGCCAGGGAAAATATCCAAGCCTTTCCTTCCATCTGGCCATGATGTGAGGAGACAGGGAAGGACCCGAGTCCCCCCCCCCCCCCCCCACCACACGGCCAAAGGCTTAAAGCTGGAAGGGATTCCTTTGGTTTAAAGGAGGTGATTCTCAAACTTTGATATACATCAGAATCCTCTGGGAAATCTGCCACAAATCAGATGCCCAAGGGCAGAGCCAGACTACTGAATCAGACCTTGCTTGCCCTGCATTTTTAAACTGCCAAGTAATAGAGGTACATAAATAGGTCATGAACAGGTTCTCCAGGGCCAGGTCCTAGAATAGGGAGGGGCAGGTTGCTGATGCAGGAAGCACCTTCTTCTGAGAGCCCTGGACATTCCAAGTTCGACTAGAAAGGAAATGGCCCCTGAGATAGTCCTGAGTCTCGAGATACTTCTCTGGTCCTGGAACAAAGGCTCTCTGCTCTCTGCTCTCGGCAGGAGACAGTGGAACTGAGCTCGGGTCATCTGTGTGGCTTTGGGCAGGTCACTTAGCCCTCTGCACCTCAGTTTGCTCAACTGTCAAATGGGGGCTCTCACACTGCAGCCCATCTCCCAAGGGCCACGGTTACACAGGCTAGGGGTGTGGGTGTTTTGTGAACCATAAAGGAGCCATCAGGACAGTGGCCGTCACCGCCAAAGGGCATTCGTTGAGAGATGGGTATGGGCAGACAGGGCAGAGACACAGCCCTAACTGTCCTCCCTCTCACCTGTGGTCCAGAAGCCCTCTCCCAGAGATGCTTCTCTCCTCCTGCAGGGCTGCGGTCCTCTAGGCAAGGGTGTTGGGGTTCAAAGTAGCGACACTCCTGGCAGAATTGCAAACATGTTCACACAAAGGCTGATGTGCAAGTGTTGGTGGCCACATTATTTGTAATGGCCAAAGGGTGGAAATAACGTCAATGTCCGTTGAGTGATAAATGAACAAAAAGTATGGTGTATCCACACAGTGGAATAGTATTCAGTCATAAACAGGAATGAAGTGCTGATCTATGCTTCAACGTGGAGGGACCTGGAAAACATTCTGCCAAAGTGAAAGAAGCCAGACACACAAAGCCCCATGCTGTGGGATGCCATTCACACGAAATGCCCAGACTGGGCAAGTCCATAGAGACAGGAAGCCAAGGTTGCTGGGGGTTGGGGGGGTACAGTCGAGTGACTGCTAATAGGCATGGGGTTTCCCTTTGGGGTGTTGAAAATGCTCTGGAATTAAATAGTAGTGATGGTTGTTCACCTTTGAGGTATACTAAAACCACAGAATTGTGCGCTTTAAAAGGGTAAATTTGATGGTGCATGAATTATATATATATATAAAGAAATAGCAAGGTGTAGCCCCAGAGCCTAGCGAGCTGGCCGTTCCGTTCCCCAGCCACACTGCCTGGTACGTGGCCTGCCACGAAGCGCATGCAGAGAGGGCCTTCCCCGTCCACCATCTATCTTCGCTTAGTCCCACTCTCTCCCCTGGGAGTACTGAGGAGAGCAAGGCAGAGAACACAGCACTTTACAAACCCCCCCTCATGTACCTCATCTGAACCACCCTGACAGGGAGGCATTATCATTGTCCTGGGGGAAAGAGAGGAAACTGAGGCCCAGGGAGTGCAGGGGCCTGGCACAGGTCATGTCATGAGCCGGCGGCAGAACCTAGGTCTCCTGACTTGCAGCTCAGAGCTCTTTCCCCTGCTTTTGGAACCCAGGTGATAGGCTGGGACGGGATCAGGAACAGGGGGCCTTCCTTCCAAGGCAGGCCGCCTCAGCCTCATCCATTCATGGGTTCATGCTTTCCTTCCCTCATCCCACAGTTTTTCCAGAGCGTCTCCTCTGTTCCACGCCTGTGCTTGGGTCAGGAGGTGCAGCCGACGGGTGGCCTCTACTCTCACGGCCCTCACGGTGAGGCAGTGCTATCCCTTGGGCACAGGGGACAGATAGAAAAGGGGGGCACAGAAGGACAGCAGCAGAGACCATGTCTAGGGACGTGCGGACAGGGATGACCCCAGCAGCGCACCCGCTTGGACACGCACATGTAAATGCACGGCAAATACAGGCACTCGTGCCCAGATGCACACGCTCACATTCAGCCGGGTATTTCTCGAAGTGCAAAGGCTTCTTCGTTAAGGATAATAGGTACTACATTCTTGTTCAAAATTCCAAAGGGACGAGGGGGTATGTGGGTGAAAAGTCCCTGCCCCAGAGGTAACTAGGACAACTAGCATTCGGTGTGTCCACATATGAACAAGTGCATGTCCCCTTTCCCAGCACAGTCAGGGATGTTCTGCCCACGATGTCTTGCCCTTTGCTTTGTCCTGACCAGTGACTGTGGCCATCTTCCCCCACCAAGCCAGGGAGATCTTCCTCATACTTCCCGAGGGCTGCCCTGTGGCCCACTGTGTGGATGTTTTGGGAATTTGTCTCAGCGGGCCCTGTTGATGGGCACTGGAGGGGGTGCCGAGGTTTGGATAGTACCAAACCTTATGCTTCGGGTAATAATCTCGTTCACGTGTCATTTTGCGCAAGCACAAGAAACTAGCAGTGAGTTGCTGGGTTAAAAGGTTAGTCACGATTTTAGGTTGTCATAGCTGTTGCCAAATCGTCTTTCCAGAGCTTGTACAAAATCACCTTCCCACTGGCCGAGAAAGAATTCGTGTGCCCGTGAGTCAGGGCGGGGAGCCAGGTGGGTTTGTGGGGGAACGCCACCAGACGGGTTCCCGAGCAAGCACCTTTCCCACGGAGGATAACCAGAGATTTCGCTGCTCCGGCTTTATCCTCACATCTAGGAAGTCCCTACCGCGTGAGCAGAAGAGGTTTGTCCTCGTGTGGGAGGCGATGGTCCCTCCAACTGTGGGCCCTGCAGGTTTCTGCAAAGGGTCAGTGGGTGCCTGGGGCCCATACTGGGCAGGAGGGTGGGTTGCAGAAACCAAGTCCAGGTGACGTCCAAGACAATTTGGGGCTGTTCGGCCTGGATGGGGCAGATGGGCTCAGATCCCCGTTGCTGCCCCCCAGGTCCCTCCAGGCCCCTCCAGGCCGCTCTGAGGGCAGGCAGCCAGGCCTCTGGGGCCCCAAAGGCAGCAGCAAGAATCCTCAGGGAGCCACCCGCTGCAAGTTTGAGCTCGATGACAGGATGAACTTTCACCGTGGCAAAGCTGAGTCAGGGTGGAAAGGGCTGCCCCGCGGCCGGGAGGGCGATTGCGGGGACTGGACAGTTCTATCAGGGGGCCTCCTGCCAGGGGCTCGGGGCATGGCCCAGGGGCCTCAGGGGCCTTCAGACTCTCATGGCTATGGCTCCCAGAGTGTAGGGCAGTGTGAAGGGTGGGCCTGCGGTCCTGGCAGGGTGGGGGAGGGATTGCCCCCATTCACACACACACACACACACACACACACAATCACAGCCCGCAGCAATCATCTTTGCGGACTGGACCACGGAGCAGCCTGTGCAGTGATGGGCGGGCTGAGAACAGCATTTGTTAGCTCATTTCCTGCCCCCCCCCCATCCCCCTTCACCTGGGAGCTGCTAAAGACGACAGCTCTCCTCCCCCAGGCCATCTGCAATAACTGGTGGTCCCTACCTCCCGCTCCATGCTGCAGGCCTGCCCAGACCCTGGCAAGTTGCTTGCCAGCAGAGCCCATGGCTGGGGTAAGAGAATGGTCGAGAGGCAATGAAGGTCTGGCGTAGGGGGAGCGGGGAGCCCCAGGGGGACACTTGCATTGCATGGAAGGGTAAATAGGCCTGGAGCCAGCCTTCTGGACTGCATGCTCTTTCAACCACTCCTGCTATATCTTGCTAATGCTCACTCCCAGGGCTTAAGTGCCCATTTTTCTCATACTGAGTTTTGTTAAACCCAGGCTCTTCCAGCATGATGGCGCCCCCGTGTCCTTTTGATGCCTTCAAATGATATCTGGTCCTGTAGTAATCTTGGTAATTTCAGGGTACCACAGACCCGAGCTTCTCAGCAGTCCTGGGAGGTAGGCAGGACAGGGCTAAATGTCCCCGTTTTACAGAGGAAGAGCCTGAGAGGGAAGCAGTTTGTCCAAAGCCAGCCGTGAATCTGAGACGGTGTCCCTGGATGCATTCACATACTGTGTCTCAGTATTCCTGAGAAGCTGAGGCTCAGAGAGGGGGAGCGACTTGCCCAAGGTCACACTGATGGGTGGCACGGTCAGGGTTGGCACGCAGGTCCCGCTCTGGCTCACTGGGTTATTGTCCTTGCAGCTGGTCAAGACTGCTGAGCTGGACCCCTCCCGGAACTACCTTGCGGCCTTCCACCCCCACGGGGTCCTGGCGGCCGGAGCCTTTGTCAACCTGTGCACAGAGAGCACGGGCTTCCCTTCACTCTTCCCCGGCATCCGCTCCCATCTGATGATGCTGACCCTTTGGTTCCGGGTCCCTTTCTTCAGGGATTACATCATGTCAGCGGGTGAGTCTTTACACCTCTGGGTAGTCCAGGAGGATGAGGCTGGAGGCACAGGAAGAGGCATCTTAGGGAAGACTGCCAACCCTTCCATACTTCTTGCAAGTGCATGTGCAATGGGAGAAGTAGCTAGACCCAAAGAAATACTCCCCACAGCCGCATGCGGGACACTGAGCTCAGTGAGGGTGTGGGGAAAAGGGAGAGGACTTAGTTCCAGTCCTCAGGGGACTCCCAGCTGGAGGGGATGGGGTAGGGACCTGGGCCTCTGGGGCCACTTTTGGTGGTCTCTCTCTTGGGTCTCATCCACCCCACAATTCCTGCCCCCTTCTCCCGTACCTGACCACCTTCCTCTGTTCCCAGGGCTCGTCACATCAGACAAGGAGAGCGCTGCTCACATTCTGAGCAGGAAGGAAGGTGGCAATCTGCTGGCCATCATTGTAGGGGGTGCCCAGGAGGCTCTGAACGCCAGGCCCAGATCCTCCACGCTGTTGCTACAGAACCGCAAGGGCTTTGTCAGGCTCGCACTGATGCACGGGTATCTGGGGAGAGGGCTCTCGGCTCCAGGGGAGATTGGCAGGAAGACAGCAGAGACTAGTGCAGATTATATTTTGGTGGGGAGATTCTCAGTCTATTTACAGCGAAGATTATATTTTGGTGAGAAATGTACTATGGCATGCCCAAATACCCAGAGAAGATTTCAGAAGGGAGGCGTGGTGATCAAAGGCACTAGGTGGGAAGGGACATGTCTGCCCAAAGCTGGCACTGGATCTGACATCTATGGGATCTGGGAGGATGGAGTTCGGGGCATATCACAGAGCTGCTCTACTTCGAAGCATCTTTGAAGAACACAAGCTAGCTGGGGCCGGGGAGATTTTTCTACAGAACTCACAGATGTTTTATATCTGGGAGGACTCTCTGAAGCATTCTGGTCTATCTGTCCTAATGTGGTCCTGAGAGGGGCCAGGACCTGCCCACGGTCAGAAAGCAAAGCTATGGCAGGGCTGGGAGACAACCCAGGCCTCCTACTGCTGGCCCAGGGCTCTGTCCTCTGCTCTAGTTCCTGGTTGCTCCGTCCCTGCAGGAAGCTAGCTGGGGCCTTCTGTGGGACCTTCCACTGGTATTCTCTCCTGTCTCTCTCCAGGGCAGCCCTGGTGCCGATCTTCTCCTTCGGGGAGAATGAGCTCTTTGACCAGGTTGCGAACTCTCCTGGCTCCTGGTTGCGCAGGATCCAGAACCGGCTGCAGAAGATCATGGGCATCTCCCTCCCGCTCTTCCATGGCCGTGGCGTCTTCCAGTACAGCTTCGGTCTCATGCCCTACCGCCAGCCCATCACCACCGTGGGTGAGCCGTGAGCTGGCCTGGCCAGGGGTGGGGGGTGGGGCCTACAGGGAGAGAGGCCTGGGCTATGGGCTGCAAGGGGACATGGAGATGAATGAGACACATCCTTGCCCTCCTGGAGCTCACATTCTAGACCGGGAAACAGACACTGCTTATCAAGCAGATAAGCCTTAATAGAAGGCACTGTGGGATGGGAACTGTAACAGAGGCACAAAGAACAGTAGTCACTACTGATTACAGAGTACCTGCTGGGTGGCAGGCAGGTTCCCTAACATGCAGCAGCTCGATCTATCCTAACAACCTTCAAGATAGAGACTGTTATCCCGATTTCACTGATCGCAAACTGAGGCTCCGAGAAGTTAAGTAACTTGCAAAAGATCATGCTGCCTTTGAGTAACAAGGTTGAGGATTGGATCAGGATCTCTTTGAGTTTTTATTGTGCTAGAGAAGGAGGGTTTAATTCTGACCCAGAGACTCTAATAAGGCTTACTGGAAAAGGTGGAGACAGCGAAAGGGCATTCCAAGTCAATTAGAATTGTGTGTAGAGTAGGAATCGCTATTCTTGGATTAGAGCCTGAGGGATTTTCCTGTAAATAATGGGCATGAGCTTTAGTGCATGGACTCAGCACCATCTTTTTCAGTTCTTGGGACCCCTCATTTGCTTTCTTCTTGGATCCCAGCTGGACCCCTCTGACAAAGCCTATAGAGGGACGTTGGTTCATCTGTATCCATCCATTTATTTGTCAGTTGAGCACAGACCGGGTGTACGCCCTACACCATGACTTTCCCCATGTCTTGTGGCAATATTTGCATGAGGGTTAATCCTGCTGCTGCCACCAGAGCTATTCCCAAGAGGAGAAGGCAGGGGAGCTACCGTCCCAGCCAGGCAGAACCAGAGGAAGGAGGTCACTTAGGGCTTCCCTAGGACAAAGCAGGCACTGCAGGCCAGATGGAGAGAGAAAGAGGAAGAAGAGCTGCGTGGGGTGTGCGCCCACCTCATCCTAGATCTGTAGGCACTTCTAATCGTGGCATCTTGGGCTCCCAGAACCACGTGGTCAGGAAATTAAGAGCATATGCCCAGGATTTAAAAACTGGAACAGATTCTTCCTGGCTTTGTGACCTTGAACGTTACTTAGCCCTCTGAGCCTCGTTGCCCCACCTGTCAATGGGGAATAGTAAAAGCTTCTATCCCTGTAGGACTGTCACGAGGATTAAAGGAGATAATGTGTGGCAAGCGCCTGGCACATTCCATGGCATATTGCAATGCCCATGGGTGTTGTTATATCAGAATCTTGGAGTTACCATAACATCTTAGAACCCATCACCCAAAATAGGGCTGAAAGGGATGGCAGTAAGAGCACTTTGCTGCAGGAATGCCCATGGGGAAGAGCCCCTGCAACCCACCGGTTCCTGCTCGGGGCCAACACCCACATTTGTGTCTTGCAGTGGGAAAGCCCATTGAGGTGCAGAAGACACTGTACCCCTCGCAGAAGGAGGTGGACAAGCTGCACCAGCGCTATATCAAGGAGCTGTGCGACCTCTTCGAAGCCCACAAGCTCAAGTACAATGTCCCCGTGGACCAACACCTGGAGTTCTGCTGAGCGCCTCCCCAGAGGGTTGGCCTTAGGGAGTCCAGCGGGAGGTGCTGTGATCTGAGAAGTCTTCCTGGAGGCGTCTGTTGAACATATCTTCTCAGCCTTCCCAAACTTATGCAGATCCAACCACGCCAGGACCCCAAGGGGCGAGTGGGAGGGGTCACCAGGCTCTGGCGTGGGTGGTTTGCACCCCTGCTGTGAAACCCTTGAGAGCCTCCCTCTCCTCCGCCTGCTCCTTTGGGAATGGGAGAGACGGCTGGAAGAGAGGAATTTCCGAGCTTTTGGTCCCCTGTTGTCATGTCATTCAGGAGACAGAGAGTGGCACCTGTCACCAGGTTTTTCTTCCCTGACCTTGAGTAACAGCACAAAAGAAGCTGCCTGCTCCAGCCCCGTCTCCTACAAGCTCCCTCATCCTGCTCCATGGATGTCCCCACTCCTCCCTCCCTGCGCCGAGGGCGGGTGGCTTTGAAGCCTCTGTGCTCATGCTAAGCGCTTGTGCGTTTTGGGTGCCTCTGAGCTGTAGACTGGCAGCCACAGGGGCCCAAAAGGTGGAGGAGGAGAACTGTGCTCTGTCACTCCCCTCTGGCAGTGGGCAGACCTTTTTGCCCTCCTGAGCCTCAGTTTCCCTGACTGACTAAGATGAACCCTGAGTCTCAGCTCTGACATTACAGAGGCGAAGAACTCTGGGAGGCACCTCTTACTCGTCCATTGTAATTTCAGCCCCTGGCCTTGGCACAGAAAGGTTGGGGGAGTCACCATAAACGTCAGTTCAACAAACGAAAGGATTCTACTTTAGCCTTCTTCTGTTCCTCCGCATTCCCCAACAGAGAGGGCTCATCAACCCCCCCTCTTTGGACCCCCAGCCTGGCCCTGTGGCCCTGCAGCCATACCTCATCTTTCCAGAAGGTGGATGAGACAGGGCCAGAGAATGCCATGTTGGCTCATCCTTCTCGATCCGTCGGCCCCAAGCTTACCACCCCTGGTCCTGTTCTGCTGGGCAAGAAAGTTGAGAGGCTATCTTAGGACACAGGGCAGACCAACACAGAGGATGAAGACCAAATACAAGGAGTGCGTGTTTGTGTGTGTCTGCAGGGTGGGTGAGACGGGGACAGATGCCCTGACGAGAAGATTCTGGATTCCTAGGTTTGGGACATATGTCAATAGTGAAGGGCAGGATGCGCAGCGGGGACCACACTCGTGACTCCCTCACCCTCCAGCAGGGAAGCAGCATCCTTTCCCTCCAGGAGCAAATCGTACCCGTAACTACAACAGGAGGGACAGCCGAGAGGTGTAAATTTGGGTTTAAATCCTGGCCCATCCCTTGTCAGTGACTCTGGGCAAGTCCTGTCATTTCCAAACCTCAATTCTGCCATCTGAGAAGGACTACCATACTCACCTCTAGTGTTGTGAACATAGTAAGATAATATTTTGAATGTATGAGTCACTGCATGTCATGTCTGGAATGGTGTGGAATACGTGTAAATTAGGATTCAGGGGATAAAGGTACCCTGTGTCTCAGGAAGGTGCCTGGTATTCTAAGAGGCAGTATGCTAGAGGGCTCACAAGGGAAGCGGGAACAAAGAGCGGTGGGGGTCAGAGGAGGGAGTGATGATTTCCAGCCAGGAGGAAGTGGAGGAGGTGACAGGTGGGCAGGGCTGTGAAGGAAGGGCAAGATTTGCAAAGGAGAGTACTCGCCCATTATGGTTCTCTATTGCTGTCTAGTGAGCCAGGCCAAAACTGAACGGCTGAAGAAGCAAGGAGTTGTTATTCCTCACAGTTCTGTGGGTTGGACAGGTGGCTCTTCTCAGTCTGCCCTGGGCTCCGTGCAGGTGCCTTCAGCTGGGACTGGGCCGGCTGGTGGGGCTGGCTGGGCCTCTCATTGCAGGTGGGTCTGATGTGTCTTCAGCATTCAGCGGTGGCTGGAATTTGTAAGAATGAGAGCAAGGCTGCAAGAGCTCTTAAATACTGGGCTGAGCAACTTGCAGAGTCACTTCATCCCATTCTGTTGATCAAAGCAACTCCAGAACCCTCCCCCCCGCCCCACCCCGGGGAAGTTTCAGGGGTGAGGAATAGACTCGGCTTCTGCCTGGAAGGAGCATCAGTGTCACAATACAATGGGCTGGAGGTACATGAAGAGATTCTGTGGCCATCTTTGCAAACAATCTACAAAACAGCCGTAAATGAAAGCCTGCAGCAGGACTTCCGCCCTCCCCCACGTTTAGTGGAATTCCCTGTGTGACCATGATAAGAGCTGTAGTTTATCCCCAGGGCACCAGCTCATTCTCGGCCGCTGCCCCGTCCCCATCTCGCTCTCCCCAGTTCATCCTCAGTGACCAGACAGGGTGTAGGGGCCATCACTGGTCAGAGGACACAGATCATGCTGGTGACCCTGCAGGGAAGGAGCCAGGAATGAGCATTTCCGCTTCCCTCTCTCCCCTCCTTCTTCTGCCAAGTTTCCCCTCTGCCTGAGCCCAGTCGCAAGCTGGAGGGCACAAGGGCCTGCGGCTGCCGTGCACACAGGTAGGCCTCCAGGAACGAGCAGGGTGGAGACAGGTGGACAGTGCATCTGCAGGGGTCAGTGGAAGACAGATGTCCACCTTCAAGTCCAAGTTTCTTAGCCTGCCTTTTGCCACTCTTCCATCATCTGGCCCAGTTTTCTCCATCCTCATTTGTCCCCCTCCCTTAACATGGGCTCCCATGATACCAAACCATTTGCCGTTCCTTGTATGAGATTTGCTCTCTTTCTCCGCTCTAGGCTTTACCCATGCTGTTCCCTCTGCCTGGAATGACATCTCCCCCTCCCCACCTCCCCCTTTGTCTAGAAAATTCCTATTCATCCTTCAATACTGGTTTCCTCTATGCAAGAAAGCCTTCCCTAATGTCCCTGGTTGAGGTATGGGTTCCACGGGGTGCCCCAGACTTCCCTTTCCTCTGCCATGGCATTCAGCACCTGGGTGACTGTTGGGTGGTCACAATCCCATGCATGATACTTCTGACTCCAACCTACCCACATGTAGCACCTGCCTCCACTGTCCAAACAAAACCCAACACCCTAAAATAGTCTCTGACGCCTCAGGATGATGCCCAAACTCCTCCTCAGCCTCCAGAGCCTTTCTCATCTGCCCCTAGACCTCACCAGCCTCCCCTGCTGGATCTCTTCCTCTGCACCCCATCACCCTGGCACCCCTCTCTGCTTGCTGAGTGCATGCTGCTCTCGCATAGCTGTCCTAGGGCATGCTGTTCCCTTTCCTTGAAACATGCTTCCTCCTAGACCTGGTTGACTTCACTCATCCCCAAAGGGCACCTCTTTTGTCGGCCATCAGCACACCCCACCCGCCCTCTTACCCTGCCTCCCACCTGACTGCCCTGAACGAGAGTTAGTTACCCCTCTTTGGGGCTAGTTTTAGGGGTGAAAGGGTCATTAATGGGTGAGTGGACTCCTCTGTCTCCCTTTAGACTGGGAAAGCCCTGAAGGCCAAGACCACATCCTGGTCACCCTCAGCCCCACCCAGCACCCAGCACAGGACCTAAGGCACCTCAGCACCCCACTGGATGAGAACTGGTTGCATAAATGAATCCTCACATGGCACTTCCTCTTGGTTCAGCACACTAGGCCTGGGGCAGGGATGAGGCCGAGAAGACCCATGCCTTGCCTTTGGAGGTCATTAAATCAGTTCTCTATTGCTATATGACAGATACTCCCAAACTTAGCTGCTTTAAACCACAAACATTATTTATTGTCTCACAGTTTCTGAGGTCAGGAATCTGGGAGTGGCTTCCCTAAGGGGTTCTAGCTCAGGTTTCTCATGAGGTTGCAGCCACGCTGTTGGCCCGGCCTGCAGTCCCAGAAGACTTGAGTCGGGCTGCAGGATCCACTCCCAAGCTCACCCATGTGGCTGTTGGCAGGAGGCTCTGTCCTCCTCTTTGCAGGCCTCTCCTGCCAAGGGCATGGCTTCTCCCAGGGCAAGTAAGGAGAGAAAGGGACCACACTACCTTTTATGACCTAGACTCTGTATCACACACCATCAATTCTGCCTTATCGTATTGGTGAGATGTGAAGTCACTAAGTCCTGTCACACTCCTTACGAAGGTGTGAATCCCGGGGTGTGAGGCCCCTGGGGGCCAGCTTGGAGGCTAGCTACCACAGTGACGGCGGATGAGCCCTCCGAGACCAGACTGGGCCACACCATGCTGTGTACTACTGCGCGAGGTAGCTTGCCTGGCTGGCCATAGAGAGGGTCCCCAAATGGGTGGGGCACAGCGTGAGCAGAGATCGGGGGAGGGAATTTTGGCCATGACCCCCTGGCCTGGCTGGGATGGAGGAGGAGGTGATCATGAGATTTAAGGGGGTCCGGATGGGGGAGGGGAGTCGTGAGAGACTTGGGGGGCCAGGGGGCAGAGAATTCTTCCCTTTTCATGGTGAGCCTGGTGGCCTCCCATGGAAGACCACGGCAGCACAAGAAAAGAGCCTAGGGCCTGATCTCAGAGGAGGGCTGCCCCAGAGAGTTGCCCAGTTGGGAACAGCCACACTGGACTTTGAGCAAAACATGTCCTTTTCCTGAGCGATTGCAGGTGTTTGTTTAGTGGTTGGCCTCCCCAGCCAACACAGTGTGCCAGAACCGCACATATAAGGGGTCAGTTATTAACTTAGTACCTCCCGCCTGACACTCCTCAGGGCCCCCAGAGCCCGCCTCGGGGGCCCCCGCGTGGTGCGGGAGAACAGCTCCCCGATGGCAGCACGCACACAGATAAATTCAGACAGCCAGAGGACGACAGGGTTTGTCAGGTGTGGTAGCGAGGGTCAGAGGCCCGTCAGGGTGGGGTGTGCTGGAGTCTTCCAGAAATCATGCTGCCCTTTGGCCTGGGGAGAAGTTCTCAGATGGCATTACCCACAGGGAACAAAGGGCCCATTGGGGCCCAGCCTATGTGACACTGCTGTCTGGTGCCGGGTGGGACAGGGGTCAGCTAGCACAGCGCCATTGGCAGCCACGTGGCCCGGGCCGCGCGTTGGCCTCACAAGGGAGCTGACCGTGCTCGGCGAGGGTACAGGAGGAGGCGAACACAGGCAGGATGGAAGCTGCTGAGTGAGCAAAGGCAGGGAGGGGACACGGGGGGCGGGGCACAGGCTCGTGATGGCCACTGCTGTGACTGAGCGGGCAAGAGTGAGGTTGAGGGAACAGGAGGCTGGAAGGCCAGGCCTTTGTTCAGCAAACTTTGAGCGAGAGTGATGACCAACGCAGCCAGGGTCCCTGACTTGGCCTTGCCCACTGTCTGGGGGTACTCCTATGTCCAGTCAGGGCATCAGGAATTTCTCCCCGAGGTAGGGAAGAGCCCCCGAAGGTCCTTGAGCTGGAGTGGGCCAGGGGCAGGACCAGATGGGCAGTGGATGCCTTGGGCTGATCCAGGCATCTGTCTTTTTTTTTTTTTTTAAAGATTTTATTTATTTGACAGAGAGAGACAGGCAGAGAGGGAACACAAGCAGGGGGAGTGGGAGAGGGAGAAGCAGGCCTCCCGTGAGCAGGGAGCCCGATGCGGGGCTCGATCCCAGGACCCCGGGACCATGACCTGAGCTGAAGGCAGACACTTAACGACTGAGCCACCCAGGCGCCCCCAGGCATCTGTCTTAATGACCGGCGGAAGGGCAGAACCAGCACCGAGCCACTTACTGAGCACCGAGTCCACGCCAGGCTCCGGGTGGGACGCTCTACAGGCATTATCTCAATAACACCGGCAGCGACGTCCACTCTTTGTAATAAATGAGGTTCCTGTGTCAGAGAAGGATAAGGACTTTCTGGAATCCTGGGCTTGATAGGAAGGCTGACTGCCCAGACAGCTATTCTGTCCTGCTCCCACTCTGCCTAGTTCCAGCCTCCAACTGGGCAGAAGGGCACAATGGAAGCGGCCGGACCTGAGAACCCTTGAGGTGTGCACAGCCCCCTGCCACCTGCTTGGCCCCGCCGCACACCTCCCTGCACTGCACGCCCTCCCCACCCCTCCCCCAGTGCCACATGCCTCCTTGAGGCTTGGTTTCATCACCTGTAAATGCTTCACCCATAAGTGAGTGTTCAATAAATGCCAGTTCTTCCTCACTCCTCCCCTTTGAAAATACTAGGAAATGGATTTTGAAAGACCTGGGAGAGTTTGTGGATCACACACAAGGTTTGGGCTTTTCTTAGACTCTAACTCACCCCTCACTCCTGGCTAGAAAACCTTTTTTTTTAAAAAGATTTTATTTATTTGACAGAGAGAAACACAGCGAAAGAGGGAACACAAGCAGGGGGAGTGGGAGAGGGAGAAGCAGGCTTCCCGCGGAGCAGGGAGCCCGATGCGGGGTTCGATCCCAGGACCCCGGGACCATGACCTGAGCCGAAGGCAGACGCCCAACGACTGAGCCACCCAGGTGCCCCCTTGCTAGAAAACCTTTAACCAGTGCAAGGGGTGCCCTGTACACCCAGTTATATCTTTAGTGAGGAAATGGATGGAACTAGATGGGCAGGAAGACTCTTTCTAGTAGCCCCTTTTAAAGGGTCCCTGAAAAGAACAAAACCAGCAGGAAACCTTGGCCCCATCAAAACAATGCCAATGGTAGGATCAAAAGGGGCTTCCCCCTTTAAAAAAGGCAAAAACTGTCAGAAGCTGGCATTTGGGCATGCCCTAGACCAATGCTTCTCAAAACGTCTGTGGTGTAGGACCAGATTCTTGTGCGTGTGTTGTGGGGGCGGTTCCCTAATCCATCTTGGACCTATTCATTTGTAAAATACAATATAAATTACCAGAAAAACGAAATATGAAAACAAAGACAAACATAGTACAAGTCCAAGTTTTTATTCTTAATTTCAACAGACATAAAATTCCTCTGCCACCTTGCTCTAAAGTTTCTGAGCAGGTACTCTCAAATTCTGTACCTAACTTGGTCAGGAACCAGGAACAAGCGGTTAATGGACACACTCTGGCCCTCAGACCACACTAGAGCCGCACTGCCTTAGAGCTCACTGGGGGGCTAATTACTGGTATTGTCAGATTGCTGTGGTTAAGCTACACGAAGCTACTTGGTGAACTGCTAAGTGCTCTACAAGATTGGTGGGGCTGTGGTCTTGGCCACTTCTACGTGGGTAAGCTGAGGGGGCTCTGGGAAGGGAAGGACTTGCCTGAAGGCACAGAGCTAGAAAGACTCCAACGGGGGACCACTCTTCACTCTCTTGCAATGCTCTTTCCACTCTGCCTGGTGCAGTGGATCCTGGAAAGCATCACCCAGATGCATCTTCAAGGAAGGACACATTGCGCCAGGTGCAGAGAGTTGCTTCTTCCAGGGCACTGAGCCAATGACTGATCCAGATGGGGCAGAAAGGCTTGACCACTTCAGCCCAGATCAGGACAGCTACGACGTCGTTTCTGTTCAGCTTCTCCCTCTGCCCAATTTGGCTGCCTTCCCTCCCTTCTGTAGGTGTTGACCCCAAGGGCTCTCCCTAATAAACATCCCACAGGCTAAACGCGCTTTCAGAATCCACTTCCCGGAGAACCTAACCCGTGACATCATGCATACATGAAGAGTTAAATCTCAATATAAGGCTCAGAGAGATTAACTAACCTGTCAAAAGTCACACAGTTTTTAAATGGTTTTTAGGTTTTTGGAGTCAGGATTTAAACTCAGATCCGAGGTCAAAGCCAGTGCTCTTTGCCTTAGGAGTGAGACCTCTTGACTACCGGCTTGGGAAACAAAGGAAAGGATCAGAAAAATTGTATTTAAGTTGTGAAACTTAAAGTAACTCTATTCAAAATGGTACACCACTTTGGAACACATTTTGGCATTTCTTAAATAAAGTTAAATAAGGGCTTACTGTATAGCACAGCAATCACGCTCCCAGCTATTTACCCAACTGATTTGAAAATAAGTCCACACAAAACCCTGCGCATCAATGTTTACAGCAGCTTTCTTCATAATCAGCAAAAACGGGAAGCAATCAAGATATCCTTCAGAAGGTGAATAGATAAACACACCGTGGTACCTTCAGGACTGTGGAATACTACTCTGAAATAAAGAAGGAGCTATTAATTCACGCAACAACATGGATGAATCTAAGAGGCGTTTTGTTAAGTGGAAGAAGCTAGAGTAAAAAGGCTATTTGATTCCATTCATATGATATTCTGGAAAATGATAAAATAGAGGAATGGAAAGCTGATCAGCAGTTGCCAGGGATTTAGAAAGGGCAAGCCTTTGACCAAGAGAAGCCTAGGGAATTCTTTAGGTTGGTGGAATGAATCTGGATGGTATTGGACTGGCATATAAATGACACTATGCATTTGTCAAGACCTACAAAGAGTGAACCTTAATGTATAGAAATTAAATTTTAAAAAACCAACCAAGAAGCCTGGGGATTCCAAGATGGAATGCGGCCTTGTGACAAAAGAATCTTAAAACTGTATTACAAATGTATGAGAAAACCTCACTGTGGCGGGGGGGGGGGGGGGGGGGGAAGAACTTCCCTAAGGAACTTTGGGAAATAGCGTTTTGACTGGAAACTCTAAGACTAACATTAAAATAAATTGTACATAAATACCACACTGTAGTTAAATTTGAATTTCTCATGGAGGTGTGCGTTAACAATTTGGAAATGGCTGTGCTGTATCTGAGAGTGTACAAATAGGTAAGCAGATGGTTTTCTCACTGTTGGAGAGGGAGGTTACAGATGAGCAAGGGAGGAAGGCTAGAATGAACAGCAGGAGACATCAGTATGAACTGATGTTTAGTTTGATATAGAGACAGATGGGTAGATACAGAAATCATTGTAAGTATGTATGTATGCATGGGTTAGTTTACATACGTGTATTTCCTAGCTCCTAGTTCTGCCTTCCGAAAGAGCCTAGAAGAAGTTCACCCCAGTAGCATTCTTGGGCAGGGAAAATAGAGCGTGAAGCATCTTGGAGGGCCAGAAAGTAAAGAAGTATTCAAAAAACAAAATGATGGGAGCATCTTAAAGGAATGCAGGAGCCAAACTGAAAAAGCTCCCAAGGGCCATGGCTGGAACAATTTGAGCAACAAAACAAATAACAGTATTTGGATTATAATCCAAAGTATAAAATATACATCCATGAGTACATACTGGTATAAATAAATGATTGAAAAATAAAAATAAGGGGGAGAAAAGTGAAATTTCTCTTACAGAAGCATCACAAATAATGGATGGAGACAGTCTGCCCTCGAGGAGGTGGAGCATAACCCTCCCCACTTGAATTGGGGTATGCCTAGTGGCTTGCTTCCAGGAGTAGAGTGTGGGAAGAGTTGGGGGCAGGAGAGGGAAGGTGAGTAACTTTACCACATCACATCAGCCAGGTGATCAGGGTCAACATCAGTGATAAGTCACGCGACAGTATGTACCTTTGATATGATGTGATCAGAATGGAACCTCACTTCTGTTGTTTTCCTCCCCAAACCCTATAACCCCAACTGACTAGGAGGAAAACATCAGGTATATCCAAATGGAGTGACCTTCTACAAGATAACCTGTCTAGTACTCCTCCAAAGTGAGTCATCAAAAAAACCAGGCAAGTTTGAAAAACTGTCACAGACCAGAGGAAGCTAAGAACACATGACAACTACATGTATTGTGGTATCTTGGATGGGACCCCAGAACAGATAAAGATCATTAGGAAAAACCAGTGAAATTTTTTTTTTTTAAGATCTTATTTATTTATTTGACAGAGAGAGAGACAGCGAGAGAGGGAACACAAGCAGGGGGAGTGGGAGAGGGAGAAGCAGGCTTCCCGCCGAGCAGGGAACCCGATGCAGACTCGATCCCAGGACCCTGGGATCATGACCTGAGCTGAAGGCAGATGCTTAACCGACTGAGCCACCCAGGCACCCCCAAACCGGTGAAATTTAAATAAAGTTGTGGATTTTAACTAAAACTAATGTTGGCTCTTTAGTTGCGACAAATGTACCACAGTAAAGTAAGATGCTAACAGTCGCGGAACCTGGGGGAGGGGTACGTAAGTACTTTCTACACTGTCTTTGCAACTATTCTGTAAATCTAAAGTTATTCTAAGATTTAAAAGCTTATTTTAATTTAAATAATTAATTTGGAAAAATCGCTGTGGGATGCCTTATTAGTTTTCCGAGGCTGCTATAACAAATCACCACAAACTTGGTCACTTGAGACAACAGAAATGTACTCTCTCACATTTCTGGAAGCCAGACATCTGAAATCACCTGCATGGTATTAGTTTCAGAGGGGTTCATAAGGCTGTGCTCCCTCTGGGAGAGTCTGTTTCCTTGTCTTTTCCAGCTTCTAGAACTGTATAAATTCCTTAGCTCCTGGGCTCTTCTTCCATCTCCAAACCAATCTTCCTCTATTCATTGTCATATCACCTTCTGCCTCTATATCTCTGCGTCTTTCTTATAAGGATACATGTGATTATATTTAGGGCCCCTCCAGATAATCTAGGATAATCTTCTCATCTCAGGATCCATAATTTAATCATATCTGCAAAGACCCCTTTTTTTTTTTTTTCCATGTAAGGTAATATTCACAGGTTCTAGGGACTAGGACCAGGGTATCTTTCAGGGGGCCAAATTTTAGCCTATTTGAGATGCCAAGCAAATTATGGATTCTCTCCAAGCCTCAGTTTCCTCATCCAGAAGTGATGTCTAAATGTATGTAAATGAGGAGGCCTGATCTGCCACCAGACTGCTCCCGGCAGGAGGCAGGAGCCTGAAGGGCGTCCTGTCCCTGGCAGAGGAGTCCTGACATTACTCCTTCCCTGCGGGCCCTGCCCACCCAATTAGTGGGGTCAGGCCAGGACGTGGTGGTTTAGGGAAAGGAAACCCAGCTGGGAGTCCTAAGACTTGGGTCCAAATCGCAACTGTCAGCAACTTGCAGTGTGACCTCACACAAGTCACTTTCCGTATCTAGGATATAGTGT